TCATATTTATCAACTAGGTGCATTTGAGTTTATCTTCAGCATAGGTGCTTATCTATATACCTAAGTAATATTGAAGAAAGACACTAGACATTTTTTATAATAAAGATAGTAAAACATGCTTCCATTAAGCAGCATATCTAGTGGCCCAGGTACTGTACTTGGCATGTTACTCATACTGTCTTTTACTAATAATGCTCACAAATATCCTATGACAGGGGTCCTCAACCCTGGACTATGAACAAATACAGCTTTGTGGCCTCTTAGGAGCTCAGCCACATGGCAGGAAATGTGTGGCAGGCAAACAAGTCAAGTTCTTCTGTATTTAGAGCTGATTCCCGTTGCTGGTATTGCCACCTGCTCCTGGCCTCCTGTCAGATCAGCAGCACCATGACATTCTCTTGAGAGTGAACTGCAGTGGTAAGAGGGACCCAGGTTATGCACTCTTTATCAGAATCTATCCCGAAACCATCCATCCTCTCCAAACCCTGTCTTTGGAAAAACTGGCTTCCACCATGAAACTAGTCCCTGGTGCCAAAAGAACTGGGTGATCACTGTTCTATGATATAAATACTATCATTGCCCTAATTTAATTGGGAGAAACTTTGGGAGGACTATGTAATTAGCTTAAGGTCAAACACCTTTTGGTGGGCAGGAGTTATATTTTTCTGTGTGTAAAAGCAAGATAGCTGTTAAAGAATTTTTTTTTTCTGGTGATTTAATTGTCTAAAATCTTTATGTCTCAGTTTTCTCATATCTGTAATGGAAAGAATGAAAACTTGGTTGGGAAAATAATAGTGCTGAGTTCACACATCAGTGAGCTGATAATATATGTTGAGGAGTTACCTCAAGGCACATGGGAAGCATTCACTTGATGCTAAGTGACACCACAAGAACCATGATGGTGGCCCTGATGGCAATGCTGATGTAATGAGAAAGGCTCCTATACTTTGCAAGGTAAGCTAGAGACTCTGTAGATGAGAACAATCCGGAATGACCCCTTGCTTGCCCATATTATCTCAGTATAGCTGTGATTAGACCAAAAAGTGAAATGTGATGATTCAAATGAGAGGAGATTAAGTAGCAAAGGTGACTCAAAGCCAGTGTTCTGACTCTGCCCGTGAGTTTACAATATACGATCGCAGTTCAATTGTGGAAAAATCAATAGTACTCTGCTCTCACTGGCCTCATGTAACTTCCAGTGTGGAACTATTTCTGGAAATTCATACTTCTGGTCCTTAATAAACTTGTAATGCCATCTTAAAGGAGTGTAGTTAACCTCTGGCCTCGACCTCTGATGACTTTGCCAATCACTCATTTTTCTTCCCCTTTAACAATTATTACTCTACCCTTACTGGATGTCTGGAGAATAAAATAAAAGTTCCACTCTCACATACTCCCACTCTTTAACTCTGCTTTTCTTGTTTGCCTACTCATTCCACATTTATTTGTTTGCAAACAGGTATTGACAGTTCCTACTATGTTAGATATTTTTCTAATTTGGAGGAAAAAAAAAAAAACATGGTTCTAAACAAGGTCCTAAACTTGCTCGGTGAACTTCTATTTCATTTCTGTTAGCAAAATTGATTTTCTCTTTGAATTATTTGCACTGTGTTGATAAAACACTTTGCTACTAATGTGACATAAGAATAATATTTTCATATATATACATATATGTACAAAGAGCAGCAACACTGTTTTCCACCTGTCTCTCAAGCAGCATGGACAGTGTTCTGAATGTATATATTGTCTTTCAGGGTTTTTGCATCTGAGGCCCTCTTTAAGACTTTCTAATTCACTTCTATATAGTTTATAATCCACTGAATCAAAGTCACCCACTGCTTTTGTTAACTAATTTTCAGGGTCTTTGCTTCCCTTATTTTGTTTAATGTCCTTAATAACTAAGCCCAAGCATTTCTCAAAACTCTGAGGTAACCAGCACTTTAATGCCAACACAGAACCATAAAAACAAATTCTCACCCTAAAGCTAATAGAGAGCTGTGCTAATCAGTAAACCTGCTTGAAGTAAATTGTGCTTTAAGGGACCCATTCTCGTGTACAATTTTGACATTTCCTTATTTTAATATTGCAAACCTTCATTCAGTTTTAGGTCATTTCTTACTTGGAACTTTGCTGTATGATGGTTTCTAAAGAGTCATTTCCACTGTAAGATGATATTGACACCAGTTCATTCCTTTTCCAAGAAGGAACAAAATCAAAATGCAAATCATACATTTTAGACTTATTTTAAGCATTTAAGACCCAATCCTTTATAAAGAAAATTAAACCATGTCTTAAGAATTTATAGCAAGGTATACAGCATGAAAAAAACCTTTTTTTAAAATTATAATGTCATTAAGAAAAAAACCGAAATGAGATGCTGTCTTTAACTAGATCCTCTAGTAATTACCCAGGCAGTTTTATAGACTAGTACTTTACTACAGTTAGTCTTCATTCTGGTAATGTAGTTTTGATGGCACTGGAAAGAACCTTGAACAGTGTTTCAAGTTAGAAACTCAATCTAATTCATGAAAATGGCAAAAAGTAAACGAACAAGTAAACAAACCAAACAACAGTGTTATGACATATATTCTCTCTAAACAAAGGGCATTTACTAGCAGAGAGCATTTTATGAGAAAGTAGTGTTTCTATATGCCCAGCAACATATACTGTCATTATGTAGGACACATGAATGAGCCTATTCTATTTTTACTGCACTATCATTTATTAAGGTGCTGTAAAATATTCTTTATTTTGCAACTAAAGGACTTTGTAGAAAGATCAGAGTGGATGTGATTCAAAGAATCAAATAATTGAGAATATGGAGTAGAAAGGAAGATGAAATATCTGGATTTAATTGACCTAGAAGTGTACACTAATGTTTTCATGTGTCTTCTTAGGCTTTTATATTTCCACTGAAGCAGAAAAATACATAGAACTACAAATAGGCTAAAGCAATAGACATTTAGGTTACAGAAAAGAAAGACTGTCTGGATACATAAGATCCTTAGAAGTTTCTAATGGCAGTTGTAAAATTATTTCTGCAAGTCACTTGGTTGGGGTAGTTTTTTCTGATATCAATTGAATACAAGGTTATGAAATAGTCAAGCTCTCTTCTAGATCTATTTTTGGAAGCACTAGTTTGAAATTAATGAAATATTAACATAAGGTTTGATGTTCTTGGCATAAGCATGAAATATAAGAAAATAGTTACAGTATGTTACACCTTTACAGTGTTTGTTTAAAGCATAATAAATTTTTGAAGGAAAATTTTTGCATTTGAGAAAATTTCATTGTTGAGTGACTTTGGTTCTTTCTTTTAATATGATTTTTTTTCCAAATTACTAACACTGGTGTGGTTTTAAATCTTTTTAAAAGAGGAATTCCAATTCTCTTCCTGCAAAGCAGCCTTATATTAGATTTGATCATACTTCATTATGCATAATTATTTGGCAGAAAGATACTGTGTTGTCAGAATATGTAAATTATCAATCAGAGTACTGTAGTTCCACTGTCATTTCTTCTACTGGCCATTGGGATGACCTTGGACAGGTCATTTTTGAATGTTACTCCTCAATTTCCTTGTTGGCAACCTCAAGAGTGTCAGAAGTCATAAGCTCTTATGTTCTTTCCCTGATGTTCTATTCAGGAATTTTCTGAAATCACTATTTAGATAAGTCAGAATTACTTTTTTTTTGCAGTATTCTAGGGATTGAACCCAGAGCTTTGCCCATGGTAGCAAGTACTCTACCACTAGACTACGTGCCAACCTTGGATTTTCATTTTTAAGACTTCAAGAATCATTTTTCTTATATTTTAGAAGTCTTAAATTATTAGCAAATAATTAAAAGTCATCAGTAAAAGTTATCATAGCATAGAGATTAAGAACAAAGTAGCTACTACAGTAAGTAGTCACCTCGTACTACACAAAAGTTTATAATTAAAATCACTGCTTGATTTCCTATGATCTGTCAAAATTGCCCTTCATCTTTCATTTGGTATGTCTTGTGTTTGTCTAGCAGATTTTTTCCATGAATATTTTTCCCTTTACATACTATTTCATATTATTTCTAAAAAATAGTAATTTTCATTGCAAGTATTCACAAATATAGTAGCATATTATGTATATAAGCCCACACTGTTTCAGCCATTACTCAATGTCTTTCCTTATAGATTGAATATTTAAACATTAAGACAGTTTCAAGAGATTTTAATCCAAGACAAACATATGATTACATGAAGTATGGACAAATGATCGGTTTTTGTATGATTGTCCTGATTTTGGCTGTTTCAAAATAATAATCCGTGTTGAAACAGTAATGAGTGTCATTTACTTAACGCAAATATTCGCACAAAATGTGGTCTTAGCAGTAAATGCAGAAAATTTACTATAAGTTATAGGCAATTCTGATATTTAAATTTCTAAGATTAAATACCAGTTACTACAGAAATAATTTCTGAAATTTTATGTTTGCTTTTTTATAAATGCTATTTTTAAGATGTATATTGGTGAACATTGGTTTGGGAAAATATTGAAGAATACAACCTTCCTAGTCTTACATCAGGCACAAAATATTCTTTGGAGATTTATTAAGAAAAAGTCACTTTAGTGCTCCCTCCTCTTCTTGGCAAAAGAAGCAGAGAAGGAAGAATTCACTCACACCTCATACTTTCATGTGAGAAGATGCATTTGTTTCATATTATGCCAAATAATAGAAGAATAGTCCTTACAGATCTACTAATAAGTGAGCTAAGGATAAAGAAGGATCAAGATAAAATGTTACTTTGTGAAGCACAAGAGTAAAATTTTATGGCTCATATTTTAGGGATGACATTCTGTTAAAAGGATTTGACTCAGTGCTCTACCTAACGTTTTCTCTTCTAATTCCAGGATTTAGCTCTTAGACCTGGGGAGTCACCAAGTGAGTGCAAGATGCTGTCATTATTCTCACACTGCTTCTCCGCAGAACCCTTAAAGCATAAAGAAGCCCCGTAGCTCTTACCTATACTCCTACGAGGAGCTGCAGCGCCAGGCACGACATGGTTCAGAACTCAGGCTAGGAAAGAAGTCCGTCCCGTTAGCTTCTCCAAAACATAAGTTCACATATCGTAGTTGAGAGCATGACTCTATTCTAAGCAGTTTTATGCAGAGTGTGATTCTAACAAAAACACCCTCCGCAGCTGGAGGCAGCCTCAGCTAAAGCCGGATTCTGTCAAGGCGTTCCCAGTGACTTCTGTCTACTAAATTCAGACTGATGTTTTGCGAAAGGGGCCTCCACAACCAGGCCCAGATTGCCTGGAAAGTATTTCCTGCCTCTGAGAAGTGTGCATGTGAGAAAGACTGCGAAGCAGAGGGGAGGGGGAGAGGGCTGAGCAGCCTAGGCATTTCAGGAGTTCTGATTTTACACAGAACTGAAGTGAGTTTGTCAGAGCTCTTGAGGTGATTAGCTAGAGAGTCATAAAGTCCTAGAGCTTTTTCTATCCCACACTGCTTATGAGAAAAGGGAGGGGAGAGAAAAAGAGAGAAAGAAAAACATAGTTCCCTCCCTATCTCCCACTTTTCCACCGTATTAAATATATATACACAGCTTGCTCAAAGTATCTTTACTAACTCTCATTTCAAAAAACCTTTTAACATAGCAACATGAATTTAGGGTTTCAATATCATTAGTATTCTAAAAATTTCAAACCTTTAAAAATATCAGTTAAAACTGAAAACCCTGCAGGCTTATATGCTGTACCTGAGAAAATCTGTGAAATCCAGAGAATCCAGTAAGTTGAGTATTTTTGTCCAGTCCTCTGTGATCCCAAGAATTCTTCACAGAATCAAGTAGTTCAGTTTGTGTTACAGCGTATGCTGCATTACCTCTAGCCAGAATTCTCCAGAGTTACACAAATCCAGTGCTGGAAAAGCAGAAGACAGACTCCATCTTGATCATATTAAGAGTCTTGCTGACATTAAACACTTGCAACTGCTTCTATCTTAGCTTGACCGAGTCTCTGAATCACATCTCTAACGCGGCTCCCAGTATCTGTATCCTTGGTCCGACACAAATTTTGTGAACTATCATCTGTTTATCTTTGCTGCTTTCTTGTGCCTCCACTGAAGGACTTCCTCCTAGCTGCTCCAGGCTGGGAACTTGGACTACCATTTGGTTTTGATTAAAACCAGACAGCTAACTCTGGAGAATTTAGGGAATAAGCTCATGGAAACTGCAAGTATGGCTTTAATTAGTGCATCAATTAATAATAGATGTTAGCTTGTCTTATAATAAGATGTCACAAATACAAATGCTCAAGTCACTTCAGGAAAAAGGTTCTACAGTTCTCTCTCCTTTATGAGCCAGCATTCTCTGTAGGGAAAGTGGAAGGACAGAAGGGGCATATGGCTTTGGGACATCCAGGTTGTGGAGGGGCCAGTGGGGTGGCTTCACTGTTTATAAGAGAGCGGTAGGAAACAGCATCTCTGAGTTTAATTATCTCGTTTGGTTGAAATTGCTCGGTAAAGTCTCCCTTCTACTTTGCTTACAATCAGTGGAACCTACTGCTATTTGTGGCTGAAGCATTTTTCTCAGATGGTGATGATCAGATTAATCTCATTGTTGGATTTACATGGAGATTGCAGATTTCTAGAGCTTTAGTAACTAGAAATTTAAGACTAATTCTAATTTTGATTTGATAGATGAGTAGCATACATGGAGGTATGAGAAATGTCAAGTCCGTTTGCGCTAACATCCAGCCTCTTCTCTGAAACTGTAAGTACTTCTCATAGCTAATGCATGTGCTGAGTTGGTTCCCATTTTTATAACAGCAGGCTGGTCCTCAGATATCACAATGACCATATTTGTTAAACTCCCTCAGAACACTGCAAAGGTGATAACTTGGAGAAATATTTTGATGATGTATAATTACTGCTCCCTAAAATCTCTCAAAATTAGTGAAGAACACAAACTATTATAGAGACATATCAAAGAGCAAAAATTACTTTTACCATACATGAATCACAACATGAAAAATATTCAAATAAAAATGTGTTAGCAGGAACAGTTTTAAAAATTTAGATCGGGCCAGGTGTGGTGGCTCTCGCCTATAATCCCAGCACTCAGGAGGCTGAGTCAGGAAGATCCTTGAGCATTCAAAACCAGCCAGTGCTACAAAGTGAGCTCGAGTCCAGCCTGAACTGCATAGGAAGACCTTGTCTCAAAAAAGACAAAAAAAATTAGATCAAAACCTTACTGATAAGAAGATGAACATCTGAATTCTTTTAATTTAACCTTCAATGCATACACAAAGAAGGAAGTTCATTCTTTTTATAATTCTTTAAAGCATATTTATATTCATATTTAAACTACTTCCATGGACACTATGCCCATTTCAACTTCCTGATAGTCTTTGTGTGTGTTTTTATTTTTATTTTGTAGATAAAGCATTAGGAAGTTATTTTTTCTCAAATGATACAAAGTGGTGAATTCTACATTAAAACTAAATTCACCCAAATTCTAGTGATTTGTGTTTAATTTTTTTCCTCTATAAACTGCTTTCATTGACTTCCATTAGTTACAATGTGAAACTGACAATATTTCTTTTACTCTGAATTTCAGATCTCTTCTTTGAAAATAGAGACAGGTCGATATAACTCACAGATTGGAAACCAGGATTGAATTTGTATGCATATATATTTATTTCTTTTCTCCAAGGAAAACACTGGACTGGAATGGAATGAGGATTAAGATAACTGCTTTCCTAAAATAACTTGCATATCTTTATCTTGCCTCTATCTCTGCCTCTAGTCCTGCTATATGCTGGTTGTTCAACATTATATGAGCACCCGCCCAGTGCTTCTTGAGTCTCCCTGGGAATTCTATAACCTCCCCCGCCTCCTCCCCCATGTAATTAGCTTTGCTTCTGTTTATTCTGGCCTGACAAAATTACAAAATCCTACTCTCATACATTTACAAAATAGCTTTTAAGATATCTCAACATTCTTATTAGTTTCTCCTTAACAATCTTTCTTCTCTAAACAAATAAGACTTCATGTTTTCTTATTAGAAGTATTACTTTCCAAATCTTTAATCACTCTTATTTATTTTTTCATCTTCAATTGCTTAACTCCAAACAAATCTCAGGACTTACATTCTCATAAAGGTTTTTTACCAAATATGCACAAAAAGATAAATAATGAGATAACTTCCTAGAAACTTAACATCATGTCAGGCACATAGAAATGGTTTAACGTATTTGTCTCTTTTCTATTCGTAATTCTAAATATTTCATTCCTTAAATGCTTGGCAATTATTCTAGAATAGATCATATAATAAAATACAGTAGAGGGGCGGTTGAGAATTTGAACCAGAGTATCAGGACACGAACTTAGCTCTAAAACAAGCACAGTGACCATGGCCAAGTTACTTAACCTGGGTAAGACTTATTTTTAGCCTCTGTAACAAAGGGTTTTGAAAATATGAGGCAGTAATCCATGTATAACCATTAGGCTTTATGACTGGTATAGTGTTCACTGGTAGCTAGAATTATTTTGACTGTTTAAATTATTATTTTTTATCTTTATATTTCTCTTGTGGGTAACATTTTTAGAATATTTATAACCACTATCTGCTTATCAATTAAACTTCATTAAATGTAAATTTGGGATGATTGTATTGATGAAACACTTTCACACTCTTTGGAAAGAAAAGAAGAAGAGAAAGATCAAAAGTTATTTCAAAGATCAATTTTATTCCCACATTGTTCTCTAAAATTCTAAATATTTGGCTATGATACATATGATTAGATGATTAATTGACTCTTGCAGTTTGTACAATGATTTCTCATGGATTTTTAGGAAATTTGAATCTATACTTTCTTTGCAGATGTGTTCAATGATTCTAATGTCATTTAACAATCTTTTGTACAAAGCAAGTTCATTCTTTCTTTGTACAAAGCAAGATCTACTCTGGTTGAAAGATTTATCTTTGTACGAAGCATATATACATTTACATGCATATGCACATACATACATGTAAAATAGTATTTTATTCTCTTATGAATTGGGTAGGAAGCATCATTAACTCAGTATTCACATTCACCATAGGTTTTTGTTCTTTCCATTTTTATGAACAGATAGTTTCATAGTAATGCACTTGAAATTAATTCTTAAGAAAAATGATTGCAAAACACTAAAAAATTATCCACATGTGTACTCTTAGGTAATAAAGGTACCTAACATTTTGTCTATAGAAATTAAGTTTCCAAAATATCTCTAACAATTTTGCTTATAATTTATTAGAGTTGCTACATATATGTCAAAACAAAAGGAAGATAATTAACAGGACTTTGAGTTACAGTTTTTAATAATTTCTCAATAGTTTTTACCTGTACTTTCTCCAAGTAAGTTCATCTTACAGGTAGTAACTTAACCCAGGTTAAGTAACTTGGCCATGGTCACTGTGCTTGTTTTAGAGCTAAGCTCGTGTCCTGATACTCTGATTCAAATTCTCAACCGCCCCTCTACCGTATTTTATTATCTGATCTATTCCAGAATAATTGCCAATGAACTTACAAATAAGTTCATTCATCCAGGTAAAAGAAAAAGTACAACCTTTTATTGTTTATTAATTGCTAGTTACATTATTACTTTTTAATCAACTTTTTAAAAATTTGAACACTTTTTCTAATCATTTAGAATTCATCTGAAAACATTTATTTAAAGACATTTAAATTTAATATTACATTAACAAAGGTAGCAAAATTATATAAGTACTTTAAAACCATTTATGTTTGTTTTTGCTTTATCATATTTATTTTCTCCCTTCACTGAAAATTATTACAATCCAAAAACCAGTGTAAAGAGAAAGCATCCTGATAAATTTAAAAAGTTTTTAAAATACAAGTTTATGAAGTAGAAAAAGTATATGTACATTTACATGTATATATATATACATACATGTATGTACATTCATATATACAGACACTCATACACATGCACACACATACATAAATATTAGAGGATATATGGTTTAGAAAGTGATAAATCTCCTTGCTTGTCGAATAGAGCTAAGATACCTGTCTTAGCCATTTCTTCTCTTTTGAACAAAGTACCAGGCACCCACAAAGTAAGGAAGAGGATTATTTTGGCTCAACTTTCCTAGTGGTTTGTGTCCATAGTCAGCTGGTTCTAAGGCAGAAAGATCTGGTAGAGGAAAAGCTCACTTCATGTCAGCCATGAGTCAGAGAGGGAAGGGAGAAGGCAGGGAGGGAGAACTGCTCTTCCAGGTCAGTACCAGGCTCTTCTTTCAGATCCTATCTCCTAAGAGCGAGTCCACTATTGTGCCCCATAATCCAATCGTGTTTCAAAAGCTCTGCCTGTATGGAGGGTTTGGGGAGGAAATCTAGACATAAATCATAATGATACCTTTAGAAGATAAAGATTGTATGCTTTAAAAACAGGGAGAGAATCAACGTGACCTCAAAGGAAGGAGGGAGGGAAGAGTTCTAGAAGGCAAGCTCAGGTCTGTGATGAGGACCAGGGGAGGTCATCTCTAGTAAGCACTTTGGCTTTGACTTGGTGAAAAGAAGAGCCCTGACAAAGTTTGAGCAGAAGAGTAGTAAGATTTCCTTCACATTTTCATTGGGTTACGCTAGCCGCTTTGTTAGTAGGCAGAAGGAAATGGCAGGCCACAACAGGGACGCCATTTGGGAGCCACCATGATGGTACAGGTCGTTGTGGATGGCAGCTCAGTTAGAGGTAATGTGAGAGGTGACATCAGAACCTTTCGTTGTTGCAGTTGTTGCATTTCACGCCATGAGTATTTCTTGAGGAACTGAACTTGCTATGTAAGCAAAAAGGGTTATCAAAAAACTTGCAAGCCAGATGTGGTACCACACACCTGTAATTCCAGCACTCAGGAGGCTGAGGCAGTAGGATCACTGGGAGTTCAAGGCCATCCTGGGCTACACAGTGAGTTCAAGTCCAGCCTGAACTACATAGTGTGACTGACCCTGTCTCAGAAAACAAACAAAACAAAGCTAAACAACTATAAAAGCTTCCTGAGCAACTGAAGGACAGAGTTCTCATCAGTGGGAAAAATTGAAGCCAAGAGATGAAGTTAGTCTTGTGTACTAAAGGCTATAGTAGTTTTGGACACATTGGCTTTGTGATGTCTTTTAGACTTTCATAAGAGAAATGTTAAAGCAGCGGGTGTGTGAATTGAAGTTGAGAAGAGGTCTTGGTTGTAGACTTGGACTTTCATATTTGGGATTTGAAGTATGAGGCTAGATGAGATCACTAAGAAAGTGAATGCAATTAAAGTAACTCTGAGAAGAAAGAACTAATTGGCCATTGGATTTAGCAAAGCAGACGTTATTGTTGATAATGAGAGAACAAGTTCATAGAATCCTATGGATAAAAGCCTGAACAGCATGATATAAAATAGAAATCTTGAACAGACATTCAAGATACAAGTAGAGTCAAACCTTTGGCAGAGCTAAGTACAAAGGGGAGTAAACACATGGCAAGTGTTTGTGACCATAAGATGCTTTTATTAGGACTGAAGAATACAATATGTTTGCACACTCTTGCTTTGTTTTTAGATCAATATAGGTTCCTCAAGAGGGAGAGGTTGATAGGGTGTAAGAAAGAGCAGAGAAAGCCTGGAGTGAATTTCTGAGTAGGAGAGACAGAATGTGACTTAGCACGTGGGTACTGATTTTAGGAGCATCAGACATGTGAAAACTTAACGGATGTAAGATTTCCATGATTCAGTTAATCACTCTGTAACCCCCACCAGCTTCCATCATGAGTTTCCCTGCATTGTTACATAAACTAATGTTTGGTTTGGTTTTTGGTCATGTAGTTTGAAATTTGTATTTATGGTCAAGTATTGGTTAAGTAGAAAACATCTAGTGTTTAGACAGGACTGGAGGATCTAGAACTATCATAGTGACAAAGTTGCAAATGCATTTCTCTGTGTAAGTCTTTACACAGTTCCTTCTCTTATATTTCTCTGAATGGAGCTTCAGATACAGCCAAGTTCAAGAAGACCTTTCCCGCTGGCAAAATACAGTCCAGTTGTACCCTTTAAAGTTGAAAAGAAAGTCATTGATTTTACCTTAACCTTGCCTACAGGTACTATTTATGCCATTGGTGTCTAACTGCAGGTCCTTTTGTCAGTTTCACATTTTATTCCATTCATCTCTTGATTCTTTTAGTCATCAGTTTCTTTTGACATTTCTCATTCTATTTTAAGAGATTTATTGGGCTGTAACTGGTACACAATAAACATATATTGAAATTTTACATATATATAAATATATATAATCACCACAACAAAATTCCTCATGTAGTTTTCTCCTGCCTCATTGTCATCTGGCCCTCTTACTCCTTTCACCCCCCTGGAAACCATTTATCTGCTTAATGTCACAGCAGATTAAGTTTTATTTCCTAAAAATTTATGTGCATGAAACCACATGAAATATTTTTCCTAATTTCCTTCACTTAGTATAATTATTTCAAGACTGTTGTTGTAATGTTCATTCCTTTTATGGCTTAGTAGTATTCCATTGTAGGAACATAACACAACTTGTTTATTTGTTCATCTGTTGATGGATATTCAGGACAGTTGCACTGGGACAAACATTTCACCATTATAAGTAAAATATCAACATCCGTATGCAAGTCTTAATATGTATGTATTCTTTCATTTCCTTGTGAATCCTTTACTCAGAAGTAAATGATAGGGTCATTTGGTAATCACGTTTCTTTTAATTTTTTCAGAAACTCCAAAAATATTTTCCAAAGTAATTGTACCATTTTGTATTTTAACAAATAATTTCTGAGAAATTTTGTTGTTCTGTATTCTTGTTAACACTTAATGTTATCCACTTTTTAACTTTAGCCATTGAAATGGCTGCGTAATCATACATCATTGTAGTTTTAACTTGCATATCTTAATAGTTAATAATCTCGAGAATCTTTTTACATGATTATTTGTCATTAATAGGTCTTTGATGAAAAATGTCTGTTCAAATATTTTGTCCATTTTTGAAATCCTGATCAAAGTCCAGAAAATTGCAGTGTTTTTACCATGGTTCTATCATGTATATTATGAATTTAATGAGTTTAAGGGCTCCTTAAATAATTGGAGACATATATTTAAGGAACCCTTAAACTCATTGAATTCTTAATATGTATTTTCCTAGAATAGAGATCACTGTAATCCTGACACTTTTAAGTGTCACCCACTTCCAATTTTATATGCTAGAAGTGTAGTTATTTGTAATTGTATGAACCAAAACTTTGACAGTTGGACTCAGCCAAATTTTATGTAAATATATCAGAGCATATGCCTGCATGAGTATCCAGTAAAAGTTATTATTTTACTGATAGATGTCAGTCTGCACAGAGGTGGCATGTTAACTATTAGAAATAAATGATACAACTTGGAAAGAAAGCATAAACAGTTCTTCCTTAGACCTTGAAAACATTTCAGTGTCCTGTTCAGTATTCAGTTAGACATATTTGTATCATACAGTATCATATCTAAATCCTGGTAATAATTTTTTTCTTCATTAAAAGAACACACTAACTGTTTTCTTTCATGATTATCAATGACCAAGTTTTGTTATAAAACCTCAAAGTAATATAACACGAACACTGAGTATGGAAAATGAAAATTTGAAAAACTTTAAAGTTTTCAAGAAGTTACATATGGCATTATAGGTAGAAAGTAGCAAAAGATTTGCCAAAGTAGACATGGGGTTCATGCCTGTAATCCCAGTTAGATTGAGAGAAGAGGATGGCAAATCTGAGCCTAGCCTGGGTAATTTAGCAGTTTAGTGAGACACTGCGACAAAAAGAAAGTAAGAAAGAAAGAAAGAAAGAAAGAAAGAAAGAAAGAAAGAAAGAAAGAAAGAAAGAAAGAAAGAAAGAAAGAAAAAAACAAAACAAGGACTATAAAGTTCTTTTTACTGTAGCTCAATGAAGAGGCCCTGGGTTAATTCTTAATACTGAGAAAAAAAGGCGTTCCCAAAATTTGAATGTTAGAAAAATAGTTTGAAAGATTTTTTGAAACTATGTCTTCATAGGGATGTAGAATTTGACTAACAAAATAATATCGTTGTAGAATAAAATATAGCAGAATTCCTTCTACTTGCATTAGTTATTTATGGGCCATAGGAGAGGGATGCTTATAGTTGCCAAGTTCTTACACAGACAAATAAATTATAGTAATACAGTAGCTATTTTATTGGGGGTCTTGATGAGCTGCAAAATTTTTAATGAGTTAAACTAATATTTTGGCTAGTGAGTAAAAGGTGTGAACTATCAAAAATGCAGACCTCTGACTTCACGGTTTAGGGCAAGAGACTTACATGTAATGTCAATTTGAGAAACAGGTCAACTGAACTAGGAGACAGAATCTCCATGACTGGTTTCCTTGGGTTGTACCAATCTGATGATATCTAATTCTTAAACCTCTAGCATCTGTTCTGGGAAATTTTTTTATTGTATGTCTGAATAACTATGCTCAGATGATTATTTTCTTCTAGATAGGAAGATAATGAAGATGATAATAAAGATACTCAACTGCCCGAGAAGAAGATAGAAACCAACAAATGAGCAAGACATAAGTAATAGAAGCAAGTCAATTACAAGTATTACTTTTCTTTAAAAAGTGTGTCAAATAGTTTTGTTGGTATTAAGCTAAATTTTAAAATTCTGATTAGAAAAGTAAATGGATCAATGAAGCAGCACATATTTTTGAGCACATACTCTGGGCAAGGCATTGTGTTGTTAGATATTTCAAGGTAAATTGTCACAATATCCTTCAATCTGAAGATTTCATAACTGTTTAAACATGCACAGCATTTTATGTTTAATTTTTCATTTTAAGTGAAGGTCCTTTTAAGACTTTTCCCCAAATCCTTGCTATTTTAATACCTAAATCTAATATCTGCTTTTTGGTAAACGCATTCCCAGAGGAAACAAAACTTATATTTACCAGATTCAAGAGTGCAAAACTGGTCAAGAAAAAAGAAAATCAATCTTACATTTTTACATCTGGGGGACTGAGCAACTTCATTGAAGATTATAGTACGTAATGTAACAACCATTGCTAATTCCTATCACTTTGTTTTGAGGTCATGTATCATTTTTGTGTTGTTTTGATTTTGTCTTCATTGTTGTTTTGCAAGTTTTTTTAAAAATCTGTAAAATAAAAAAAAATTTAAAAATCTTATATTTAGTTACTATATTTTCTGTATTCTTTTAAAACCTTATTTACAAGCCGGATGTGGTGGCACATGCCTGTAATCCCAGCACTAGGGAGGCCAGAGCAGGAAGACTGCCATGAGTTCCAGCCCAACCTGGGGTGCTCAGTGAGTTCAAGACCAGCCTGAACTACAAAGGAAGACCCTGTCTCAGAAAAATAAACAAACAAAAAAACTAAACAAACCCAAAAGGTACAAACAAAAAATACCTTAGTTACAGATCTTTTCAAACATGGCTTGTGCTTGGGAATATTGAGAGGGAAAATTGCTGCAAGTATATCTTCAACTGAAGAGTGATCTTTTCTACAAAGAAGTCATTTTCTGCAACTGACAGAGAACTTCAGGATAAAAGAAGGCAAATAGATTTTTTTAAAAAAGCAACACCTACTTAACTGAACAGATGGAAATCACCAGGGATGTCATAGCCATATTTCTAGTTTACCCTGTATGATAAATATTTATTGCTGTCCTGCATACAGAGTTGAGTCACATTTTCCTCTCTGATTGCAAGTTCAAGGTCATGTCTTGCAATTCTATTATTAACACTGCACAGTTAAGAGCTGTGAAAAGAAGGGATGAAAGGCTATCAGAAAATCACATTTGAGTAGTAGTTTTATGAGACCTTTTCTGTCCACTCCTGTACTGGAAAGAACAGACATTTTGGTTTGTGTGGGCTATGGAAGAGGGTTGGAGGAGAAAGAGGAGGTAATTAGAACAAGAGATTTGCCTGTACACACAAGTGGAGCAGATGCAATAATTTTGGGGGGACCTCTAAGAAGTGAAATATGATGGCACCTGAGAGATTAAAGACAGAAGTAAAACCATAAAAAATGTTTTGCAACCTTAGGTAGGGCTGGCCAGTATGTTACTTAGCATTTCTTCTCCTTTCATGCTTGTGTATTTTCTCCCAGTCCTCTGTGATACTTGCCTTCCAAACTTCTGGTGCATCTATTAATACATCCATTTTTAAAGAGGAAATAGAAGTATGAGGTAATACAGAAAAAATCTTACTGCTGAATTCTAAAAATTCCTTGAAATACAAACCACAAAGGAAATACCAAGTTGCTTCTCTAAGAGATGGAGGAAATTTGTAGGACAAGATACTCACTTTCTGGTTTTCGCTTTCATTCTTTGAAGACATTTTTGTGTTTTTTGGCTCTGTGTGTGTACGTGTGTGTATGTGTGTGGGTGAGTGGATGTTTCCAGATATGTGTAGCACAACCGTGAGCCAGACCACAGGTCTGTGAGTCAAACTTTCAGCCTGCATTTGTCTTAAACTGTGAGGCTCTGGGTGTAACCTAACAGAACCTGGCAGGTTGTCTGAATAGCTCTTTCACCACTTGACCCAGAATGTAGTAAATCAGATGACATATTGTTCCAATTTTACATTAGCACTCATATTTTAATAAAAAGGAAGAGTGTGTTCTATCAAGATTTTTGAATACAAAGAAAATCTAGTTTCAGATCCAAACTATTATGGCATTTAATATTGGAATCACATTATGTAGCTTACTGGGTTAAAAAAAAAGCACCATAAATATTTTTGCATGTACTATTGAGTGAAATGGGCTCCTTTCAAAATTCATATGTTGAAACCTTACCCCCTCTGTGATGATATTTAGAGGAGGCACATTTTGGAGATTAATAGGTTTAGGTGAAGCTAAGAGGGTGAGTCCTTGCCAATGGGATTTATGCCCTAATAAGAACGTGAGGCGCCAGAGCTCTATTCTGCCATGCCAGAACAAAACCAACAGCAAGAAAGTGGCAACTACAAGCCATGAAGCAGTTCTTTACCAAAAAAAAAAACCAGAAAACAAATCATCAGCACTTTGATCTTGAATTATTCAACTTCCAAAACTGCGAACAATCCCTATCAATTTTGTAAGCCGTGCAGTCTACAGTGTTTTGTTATAGCAGCCTGAGAAGACTAATACAGCAATTTACAGAGTTCTATTTAAAATACAAATTGATACTAACAATTTAATATATATAAATTATAGTATTAATATGAGTAACAATGTTAATCACTTCTTTCTTATGAATAAAATCTCTGGAAAAAATTATAAATGAGGCTAAAATTTATCTTTCTAAATAAATACTGTGTCAACAGTATGTACAATGAAAACATCTCAGCTCAGCTCTTTTTAAGTAAGAATAAAAACATCCTACACATTTAGTTTTAGAAATACTTTCATATTATAGGAAAAAACCACTATTTCTTTTTCTTTTTAATATAGACACAGTTAACTTTAATCTGTTTAAGGGGCAATAAGCCCTTGTGCAGGAGCCTGAATCTAGATGATGTGATCATTCTCTAGAATTTTAGGGGATGTTTCGAATTTATGAAATTCCACTTAGAGCTGGAAGAGGCTTTACAAATTCAGAAATGGTTTTCTTCCTCTGTCTTCTTTTTATCCTTTTCTTTCTCCAAGGCCACCAGTACCAAACTAACTTCTTTAATGGGGTGCGTTGGAAATAAGGAAGTATAAAATACTTCTCAGAATACGATTTTGCTAAACTATTTATAGGGCATTTCAAGGACAACCTATCAGCATCCCTTTTCATCTGTTTCTCCTTCTCAATCCTGTCTCTGCCTATATCAGTAATTCTTGACTGTTTTTGTTTTGCTATGAAAACTTTGAGACACTACAGATGTTCACTGACCACTCACTAATTGTCTGGCCCTGATCTCTGTGCTATACAGGATAACTGTTAAAATCTGTCCATGATTCTCATAGAGAGGACCGATGAATATGTTCCTTGCATGGAGCAGGTAATGAGGCTAACAGCACTTGGCTCAGTTGCCCATGTGCCCACTTTAGCAAGCGTGCAGAAGTTCAGAGCACAGCTTGTCGCTTCTGCAGCTCCACAGGTTGCTGTTCTCCTCTTCCCTGGAACTTCTCACCCTGTTCGCCCTCACCTTCTGTCTCTAAACTTCTGACCTCCACCATTTACAAAGTTTTTCTTCCTGTTAACCTGAAACCTTCCAAGGATATAAATTGCAGGACATAAATGTCATTAACAAGATACATTCCCATTATTTCCAAGTTATATATAAAGTTGTTTCTGACAGAATTTCCCTCACCTCACCCCGTGAAAACTGGAAATAACCTATGGGTGAATGGTTAACTAAACTTGGAGCATGCATTAGTTGAAATAGTAAGTACTATTAATAATACTTATATTACAATACTAATTTAGTGTATATGTAGGCAATAAATCCACCACAAAGTAAAAACTAAAACTGGGAAAACCAGCCTAAACAGAAACCCTGAAAAAATATATATCAAAAGTTGTAAAGATTGTCTTTGTGTAGAGGAACACGGTGATATTTTTCTATGTTCTCTAATTTTGAGTGGTTTTTAAATTTCCCATGGCAATCACTAAATACTTCAATAACAGAAAAGCAAAACTACATTTATGTGTAGCACATATTAAGAGACAAAACATTGTGAATCTTCAGTCAATGAATATTACTGCTGCCACAGTTCACACACACCTTGTTCTCACTTTCATTTACATCGTTGTTTTTCATGAAAACAAGGCCATACTAGCTTTTTTGAATAAAGATCTTGAGTTCCTAGAGCCTAAGGCAGGAGGATCACAAGTTCCATTCTAAAATATCAGAGATTATTCTATAAATCACTATGCTGTATCTTGAAGTACACTATTAATACATACTCCTAAAATATCTACTGCTATACAACTGTGCTTATCAGATTAATAGATCTGGACCAGTTAATAGTGTATCTAGTTCCCTTTTAACCTCATGGAACCAGACATTTACTTGCTTTTTGGTGGGAGCGTAGAATTACATCAATACAAGCAAGAAGTTTTTCAGTTCTTAATGCATTCTTATTTTCATGTTGCCTTTGTATGGAGGTAACAGGTATGATCTTTTCTATCAAACAGCTTTTAGATTAGTTCCAGGAAAAATAGTTGCATTTTATCACCAGTGACAGTAATAACAAAGAGTAGTAAACACCATCTTCTTCTATGTGCACCACTGCTATCAAGCTAAGTAACCTGTATGTCACAGTTAATGAATGAGAGGTACCTCTCACAGGAGGGGTAGAAGGGGCTGCTTCCATTGCGAGGGAAGTAAAGTTGGCAGGCTCCATAATGGGAAGTGACAAGGCAGCATGAGTGAGAGAGTGGAGAAATCTATGAATCATAAGATTATCCCTGCAGAATTGAATCACAGAATCCAAAACTGTGCTGTAATGTATCTCAGAATGATGGGTAGAAGATGTGTGTAGTTTTAGGCATAGCAACTATGAAGGAGGAATACAAACTTCTTCATAGTATATAATTGGAACTGCTTCCTACTACACAAATTATCAAGGTAGTT